TCGTCCCCATCTTATTGTGAATACCAAAGAGACTTGGAGGAACGTCTAAAGCCCTGACCATGCACTCTGTAGGTACATAGGCATAGCAGTCCAAGTGTGCCTGAATGGATATGGGGAAAAACTGGATCTATCTATGTTTAGAGAAGAGCCTTGGTACAGGCTTCTAGATTAGCAGAATTGATGGGTGGATATCTGTTCTGTTCCTCTCCTTCTGCACACATTTCCTAGATGTCAGATCCTCCATTTCCCTCTAAACATTTTGGCCCCTTCTCCTCTGGGCATGCTTAATTATCTTCTTCTCTGATTCCCTAAGCCCTTCTCTCCTGCACAATCTTCTTCTGCTGGAGGAGGACTGCTTCAGTCCTACTGGTAGCCCCACTCCTTGAGCAGGGCTCCTGTTTACTCTCTCAGAACAGCGGTCCCCCCTTTGTAGAGGCACCTAGCTCTTAGGCCAGGTCTACACTTACAAGCTTACAGTGGCACAGCTGTACTGATACAGCTGTGCAGCTGTGAGAGTGCTCTTGTAGCCGCATTATGCCAACTGGAGAGAGCTCTCCTGTCGACATAATAAAACCAGCTCAGCAAGCAGCGGTAGCTATGTTGGCAGAAAAGCATCTCCCACCGACCTAGCACTGTGCACACTACCACTTATGCCAGCAAAACTTATGTCGTTCAGGGGGGTGGGTTTTTTCACAACCCTGAGCAACAAAAGTTTTGTCAACATAAGTTCTAGTTGAGACATGGCCTTAGTTGCAATTAAGGACCTGAACACCAAGGAAAAGAACCAGCACCATCTGACCAACTAGGGGCTGGTCTACACTGGGGTGGGGGGTCGATCTAAGATACACAACTTCAGCTCACGGCGGCAAGTTGACCGCCGTGACTCCCCCGTCGACTCCGCTTATTCCTCCTGCCGAGGTGGAGTACGGGCATCGATTCGGTCATCAATTTATCGCGTCTAGATGAGACACGATAAATCGATCCCCGATAGATCAATTACTACCCACCGATCCGGCGGGTAGTGTAGACGTGGCCTCAGTCTCTGCAGACCACCAGTTGTTCATACACCACAATTTTGGAACGCGGATTAATTTATTTTAACAGCCTTCTCCTCCCATAGTTAAGCTGGGAAGCATTTAATTAAAACAGTGGTGGGGTTTAAAGTTACTAGAACTCAAACCCGCAATTTCTAACCTTCATCCCATAGCAGATGTGGAAATGCTCCCCCTTAGTACACTGCAATTCTAGAAGGAAGAAGGAAGTATACAAATTAAAATTATATGGATTAGTAAAATCTAGCCTTCCATGATAAACAACCAAACAAGATTTTATTCATTAGCATTCTCTCTCGCTTGCTCATATTTAGTAATTCCAACCAAAAAATTTACATGGCATGAAAATTCGAGATCATGGGTGCACGTAGCTAGCATAGTTATGGAAGTACTATTAATAGCGATGCCGTTTGCACAGACAATATATCCACACTGTGGGCCTCCATTCTGATCTCAAAGATGCAGAAGAGGATTTTTGTGTGTGTACGCATGCACATGCACTGTTAGATGCAAAGCAAGCACGGAGACTAAAATCCGACTGTTAGAGGCCTTCAGAACATGCAGCATACGCATGCACTATATGCAGTGAAGAGGAAACCATTCTCTGATTTTCTGTCATATTTAAAATAAAGAATTTGCAAAGTATTATAGAAGGAATCAACATTATCTGCTCATTGTTTAGAGCATTCAGAAGGACTACCATTTAACATGTATTGGGGTTAAGAATGTAAGAACTTCTCCCAGTGTCTGCAGTTCTGCACAACTATTCAATGACATAAACAATCACCTGCTTTGGGGGATTGGGATACCCAAGTGTAACTTCACAAATTTAAAACAAACAAAAACAATATTTTACAGCAACAGATCACTCCAAAATACATCTCATAAGGCATCACTTTTTAGTCTCCACAGTTAAGCATTGCCTATCTACCTAATACAGTTGGTTTAAGAGCTGAGCAAACTTCGAGATGAACAATTCACCCCAGAAACAGAATATTTAATGTAGCAGGGAAAGCCTTGTATTTTTCTTATTTTTTTTAAGTTTAACTGAGCTCTAAATTAGCTTCACTGTAGATCTTTGCTATAGAGCAATTTGCTATATATTTTTATTAAACTCTTGTTTTTAAACTGTTTTTAATTTGAAGTGTAAATTAAGTTGACTTGAAACTGGAGTTGTTATAAAACCAAAATTTAGCAAACAGTTAATACACAATGCAGTTTATTAGGCCAAAGATATTAAACAAGACTCAACCATAATGGTTAACAATGGCTATTATATATGTGCAATGCAATGCAAAAATGGTTCAAATTCATCCCTGCTGTAACAGTATTGACTTCAACGATTTACACCAGATATTAAATTGACCCAATTATGTTTACACATAATTTCCAAATTTCAAATACTGTGCCCCTGTAAGACATCCCAATCCTTTATTTGGAAACTCAAATCAACAATTACATCACAATCCTATAGCTAACCTACTGATATAACTTCAGTGCGATTTCTGTGTATGGTACAGCTATAGGATCAGGTTGTTAGGTGTATTTTAAAGGGCATTTATGCACCTAAGTGACAATGCAGCCATCCAAATGTAGGGTTGGAATATGCTGTCATAGTCCCCACTTTTGAAAACTGGGTCTATGCTGTCAAATTCCTAGTGTCAAATATTTAGTGTAATTTTAAAGTTGTTAATGCTCACAAATATGGTCTTTGCTATAACTTGCTAAGTTTAAAAATTGTTTCCTCGTTGCTGTCAATTGGGTTGTATAAACGTAACAGCCATATCACAAAAATTATCTTTACTCATGCGAGTAGCCCTGTTGAAATCAAGTGAGTTAGGACGACTCATGTGAGCAAGAGTTTGCAGAATCAGGCCCTCAGCAAAGACAGGTCTCTCAAGCATGAACATCACTGTTTTTGTCTCCTCTTCTTAAAAAGAACTGGCTTTTAACATTGAAACACTACAAAAAGATCAAGAACAACAACTAAGGAATTAAGGTGACTAACTTTAAACATTCTAGCACAGTTCTTGACATTCACAGAAGTGTCAAAAATAAGTCACAAATGAAATGAAGTTATACAAATATATTACTCTGCATGCAATGGGCCTTTAAAGACAGAAAGAAACGGAGAAGGTATATCAGAGCGTAATTAGGAAGGTATCATGATTTAAGGAGAGATTTTTATTAAAACACTGGACATAAGTTAAGGCCCAGACCCTGAAAGATGATCAGTGCAAGCAGATCCCTGTGCTAGAGTAGAGCCCCACTGAAATCAATGGGGCATGCTGCAGGCAGATCCTGGTGTAGAATCCTATCTATTTCAATGCAGTGAAGTCAATGCAGTTCCAATGTCAGATTGCAAGGTGGTGGCCAAAGACAGCCCTTGCCCAAGTCTCAACAAATACAAGCTTTTGCCATATTCAGGAGTATTCAGATCTAGGAAGGGATATACTTGGATCCCATCTCTAAATTAGTTTTAGATCTCTAAATTATATTTGCAATAAATATGGGGTAACGATTGGAAGGAATTTCAGAGGGATATACAAATAGTACAGATAGAGGCCTTCCATTTTCTGGGATCCAACACTCCAGAGTTGCCTAATCCCCACAGAAGTGGGCCATTTCCCCAAAAATTCCCAACTTCTAATAGGAGATAACATGGCTGGTGATCTGCATCTCTCTAATGTCTGAGATATAAACAGTTTAATGTTGATTGACTGTGATACATTTACCAAACTGGTCATAACACAATGGTAAACCGTAGGAAGAGTATTTTAAAAGAAATGCAAGTTTGCAAGAAATAAATAGCTACACCATGTCTTTTTTGATAATATCTGGGGGTCTCCCATAGCTGGAAACAGCTGGAAATCGAACTGCAGGCTGGATTCTCGCTCTTGCCCTGCTTTAAATTGTTGATTTAAGTGGACTTACTCCCAAGTGTGAAACTTGTCTAAGCAAGCGGAGAATCAAACCCCTTCCTGGTCTGGTTCAAGACTTGAAAAGTTTCAGATTCACCGCTGACAGAAAGCTAATAACTGGACTTGGTCTGTTTACTTCAGAAGCTTACTGGGCTGTAGTTGTTCCCACTGAATGAGCTAAAGTTCATCTTCAGGCCAAGATTGTCAAAATTGGTAACTAGTGATTTTGGATCCTTTGCTGGTCAGGTGCCCAACCTGAAACATCCTAGGGAGGCCTGATTTTCAGTAAGCGCTGAGTACCTGTCCTCTGCAGGCCAGGCTCCTTCAAGGTATTTCAGAGGTGGAGCACCTCAACAGAAAAATAATAATAATCCAGATCACTGGTCATTTTTGAGACCCTTGCCCTTAAGATGAACTTTAGTTCCTTCACTGTCTGTGTACAGGAAACAAGTACAGCACACTTGGCCTCCAGACACACGCAGCCTCGCTGCGGCCCGCCCAGATGACCTAGGAGCGCACCTGCCTGGCTCTGCAACCTCACCCATCCCTCCCAGCCGCCTCATAGGCAGGTGGCAACGCTACAGCCCCCAGCCCCTCTTGTTCTGACCCATCCCCCCGCTGGAGTGCCAGCCCCAAGAACCCCACATTGCCCCTCCAGCCTCTGCCCGCTCCGTCCATATTCCTGGCGTCTGTGGAACTGCTTTCCACTGGACCCCGAGCTAGGCACTGCCAGGGGAACAACCGAGCCCGCGCATGCTCCTGAGCAAGCCCCGGAGCCCACTTCCCAGGGCCAGTTGATTCATCTCCTCGGGCCGGAGCAGCGGCTAGCGTCACTGACAGGTGGCTGGGGAGGGGGGCGCGGAGGGAAGGTGAGATGAGGACAGGTTACGGGGGACGCGGGGAGGAGTTCCCTGGGGCAGACTACAGCGCCCAGGGGGAGAGAGGGCGGTAGGGACCGGTTGCATGAGGAGGGGGATCTGGCAGGGGCACCCTCCAGCCCGTCCTCGGCTCTCTCAGGGCGCCTTACCTTGGCGAGGCAGAGCAGGAGCAGCAGGCGGAGGAAGAGCTGCCCTGGCTGCTTCATGGTCCTGAAGAGCTCTCCCCGCTGCGCGTACAGCCGCTTAGCCCGACTCCGGCTTCCCCGGGGACATGGCAGGGCTGCGCCCCCCAGCACTCAGCTGCGCCCGGTGGGGTCCCTCCCCCAGTCTCTCTCTCTCTCTCTCTCTGCGCTCCGGAGGCGGCGGCGGCTGCTCTCTCGCTCTGCCTGCCGCGCGCCCCGCGCTGAAAATGCGGGAGTTCGGAGCGGGGGCAAGTCCTGGGCAGGGTGGAGCGAGATGCACAGGCAGGACTCCCGGCGAAGCTCGCCTCCTGCTCTGGGGAGAGGGAGAGGAGTCAGTCACCTCCCCTCTGAACACTCATCGCTTCCGCTGCTGCCAGGGGGAGGAATTTGCCTCCTGTTGTCAAGGGTTTAAAAGGCCATTTTGCAGCGGGGAAGTTGTTACTGCACTTTCCTCCCCTCCCTATCTGACATTCCCCCTTTCTGTCTCCCAGCTGGGCTGGACGAGGAAGTGGCTCACTCAAAACTTTTCTAGCCCTCCCACATTTTTTCTGCAATCGACTTGGAAATGGAGCCGGAGAGGGATGTTCTCCTTCCCCCCTCCCCCTTTCAGTCTCTGAAAAAGGACATTCTTAATGGGGGTTTCTCTGGTACTACAAACAGCGAGATTTCTGCTTCTCAGAGCACATGGGGCTTGCTAGAGCGGAAGATTATCCACAGAACTCAAAGAACAGATTAAAACGAGCACACATCGGGACGAATGGCATGTAAATATTCTTTGTGATACTCATGATTTCCCATAAGCATTGATGTGAGCCCACATATCGGGTGAGATTTAACAGGGCTAGTCAGTTCTGAAGTATGCTAATTAACGAGGTTTTCTTTTCCTCTCCCGCCCCCCCATTAACGTTTGGATTTATACTTTATGATCATGTAGCATTGTTCAACTGGGGAAACACAAATGGGTGACAGAACAAAAACTGGTGCTCTGAAATGACTCAGTGAAACACACTTCACCCCGAGGAAGTTATCTGAAATAATTCCTTTCAATTGACGCTCGTATTTTTTAATGTTGCCGCTTCTGTAAATGTCTGATATTGCAAATGAACATTTTTATAATCTAATTTACTTCTCAGGATTAATGTACTTTTTACATTTCATTCACCTTGGACAACGAAAATAGACAAGTTAGTTTCATTTTGATTTATAGTCAGTTTGGGTCTTAATTCCACTTTCAAGCTCTAAACTGCTTCAGAGTTGTAATGCTTAAATTAGGAGCACTGCAGGTGAATGACTGAATCCACTTAAAATCTATTTTAATTGACTTTTTTAATGATAAAAACATTGATCAACGTTTTTTCAAGACCTTGTTTTTACAAAATGTAAAATATTTCGAACACTGAAGCATGTGCATAACTTTATATAGTTTTACAATTCCATAGAAGTCAACGGGACTATGCACACACAAAGTTCTGTATATGTTGAAGTGTTTGCAGGATTAGGGCCTAAATAGATCTGTCATTCTCTTGTTAGTAAAAATGAGGGAGTTTCCCCTCAGATTTGAAATACCTAGATAACTTTAAGGTACTTTACATTTCTTAAGGTACTTTAGAAAAAACACTTTTTAGTATATGTTCAAATATTTTGAGTGTTTTGAAATACAAACTATTGCTTAAATAGCAGAGACAAAAATATTATGAATACAAGTATATTATGAATATAAACAAGCATTTAATCAGGCTTTTAATTAATAACAACCAGGCTAGAGTTAGCAATCATTGTAGGGTAGATAAAGGGGCAGTAATTTTATTGAGTCACTTAGGGGTATCTTAAGGTATTTTATATTTGTTTGGCTTTAATTTATGTGGACACCACAGAAATATCCAAATAAGCAATAGTATATAAATCAAAATTAAATAGCATAATATTACCCTACATTTATATAGCAATTTTGAGAACAAAGGATCTCCACCCTGTATACCGGGGTTCTCAAACTGGGGGTCGGGACCCCTCAGGGGGTCATAAGGTGATTACATGGGGGGTTGCGAGCTGTCAACCTCCACCCCAAGCCCCGCATTTATAATGGTGTTAAATATATAAAAAAGTGTTTTTAATTTATAAGGGGGGGTCACACTCAGAGGCTTGCTATGTGAAAGGGATCACCAGTAAAAAAGTTTGAGAGCTCCTGCTGTATACCATACACATGCAAATAGCCTCCTTGGCTTCAGTGAAGCAACTTGTGTGAGAAAAGATCTGCAGGCCAAGTCCAGATGCACAAAAACTGTAGTCCTGATCCTTCAAGGAGCTTCCTATGGGTGGTTCCCATTGCCCACATGGAGTCCCACTCAAGTCAATTGGAGACTGGGGGTCCACCCATGCAAATGTGATTGCAGAATTGGGACCTGTATGAAGGGATCATTTCACTTGATCCTGAAATACACCCATTTTGTAAAATTGTTTAGCATCATATAACCTCAGTTTAAAAATCCAGTCTCTCAAACTCTGTCATATGAGAATAGTCCTGCTGGAAGCAATGGGATTTCTCACATGAGATTTTCCAGGATCAAGCCCTGAATAATTAATCCAACTAATATTGAAATTGATGGGAGTCCCTGTGATGACTGTAATATTAATTTTATTGGGTGTTTACTGGGTCTGGGATGGGGGAGATATCATGGGTTTAAGGCCCTGTTTCAAATCACACTTAGCAGGGACTTGAATGCAGGTGAGTGCTCTAACCACTATATTGACTATAATGGGATGGGATCTCTCACTTTCTCTCTCTGGTTTTTCATGAAGAATTACCTTAGGGCACATCTTCACTGGCAACATTAAAGCGCTACCACAGCAACGTTTTAATGTGGCTTGTGTAGTCGTGGAGCAGTGTTGGGAGCGACCTCTCCCAGCGCTCTAAAAAAAACCACCCTCACAAGGGGCACAGCTCCCTGTGCTGGTGCACTGTCTATACTGGCACGTTACAGTGCTGAAACTTGCAGCGCTCAGGGGTGTGTTTTTTCACACCCCTGAGCGAGAAAGTTGCAGCGCTGTAAAGTGCCAGTGTAGACAAGCCCTAAGTGACTGATCTGACTTAGGTACATAACTCCAGGAGATGGTTCATGGCTGAGAATCCTGAACAGGGTGGGGTGGAGGAGGGTGTGCCTATTTTTGGCCTATCAGTCTGGCATGTAAGGCCCAGATCAATAAGGTTAGGCATCTAAGCACATCTGGGCCATAAGCCCTGACCCTTTCCTCTGCATTTTCTCCCTGATTCTGCTTGCTGTCTTCTGAGAATCCCTTTCCTAGGGTACATCTACACTGGAACTGGAAGGTATAATTTCCAGCTCAAGTAGACATACCTGTGCTCACTCTGATTGAACTAGCACACTAAAAATAGAAGTACAGCCTCAGCAGCGCCAGCGTGAGTGACAGGATGGGCTAGATATCTGAGTACATACCCAGGGTCTTGGTTGGGATCATATGGCAGGGGACTAGCCCCTCCCACCACTCACATCACCACAGTTACACTTCTATTTTTAGCATGGTAGCTGGATCAGAGCTGCATGGGTATGTCTATTTGAGCTGCAAATTATTCCTGCAGCTCATAAGTCATACCCTCCGGCACCTAGCTCTCCCTAGGAACTGTATGGGAAGACTGGACACCTAACTTGGGGCTGAGAATTCCACTAGGTGGCAGGGCACCTAGGAGTTAGGTATTGCAACGCCTAAGTAGCGTGACCATATGTCCTGTTTTGGCCAAGACAGTCCCCTTTTTAAGCCCTGTCCTAGCTGTCCTGACTTTTTTGGCAAAACTGGGCATTTGTCCTGCTTGCTCTTGCCAACTGATCATCAGTTGGCAAAAGCAAATTGGACAAATGCATAGTTTTGGCAAAAAAGTAGGGTGTGCGAGAGGGAGGGCTTGAGAGAGCGGCTCGGGCCGGGTCAGCCCCGCTCGGGTGGGCGGCAAGGTATCTTGGGCCGGCCCCACATGCGCGGGGGGGCCCTTAGGCCAGCCCCATGCAGTGTCCCATTTACCCTTTGGGAAAATATGGTCACCCTACGCCTAAATCCCTTTGTGGAACTAGGCCCAGATTAGCAAACCTTCTCTCCTGTCTTCAGAGAGCACTGAGTGGCTACATCTCCTCCTACTGCTGGGTGCCAAAACTCCCTGCCCCCAAATCTTGTCTGTCTCAACCCAGTTCACCTGTTCTGGTAGTCCCAGCCATGTACAGACTATAAGTCCTCGCATCCCCTAGCCTAGCTATTCATGTATCAGGCACCCAAATAGGCAGAACTTTCGGATCCTGTGAATTATATTCATCTTTAGAGTCTCCAAATTAGCACATAGACAACTGATTCTATGAAGGCTGGTGGACATATTTAATATTAAGCACATGAGCAGTCCCATTGATTTCAGTGGAAATACTTATATAGTTAAAGGTAAGCCCCTAAATTGGGGCCTTAGTTGTAACGTATGCTAGTAACTGATTTAGTGCCTAATTAAGATTAGGTTTATTCTTAACAGATACATCTGAGATTTGAAAATGACTCACTGAAATATTATACACACACATCTAGTGAGAAGGAGAAAGAATGCATGATGGGGTGGCATGATATCAAAGTTTTATTAGCATCTGTTTGGGATGACTCAAAAGTGCTCATGAAACAAGGAGGTAGAGCTGGTTGGAAAATCCAAAAGTAAATCCACAAAACATTTTTGAAAAAAAAAAAAAACTATTACATACAAAATGTTTTGTAGAAAATTTTGATTTTTTTCCACCAAAAACAAACATTTTAATTTAATTTGAATTTTTCCTTGAAAAATTAAAAAAAATCATTGAAATAAAACTGTTTTTGTGAAATATATTGATTCTGATGAAACTGCATTTTTCAACAACAAAAAATGGTTGAAAAATTTTGCCCAGCTCTACAAGAGAGCTGTGCAGGTTATCCCAAAACCTTCATACCACAGTGCACCATCCTTTATTCTGCATACACCACCTTGCCCGAGCCATGTAAAACATCCAGAAGAGAGGGCATCTGGTGAGCCCCAAAATCAGAGGAATGGAAATGTGGGTGACACCTTTGTCTCCCCTTCAGGTCCTGTGCTCAGTTCATCCAAATCTTGAGGATCTGCT